AGCTACGGCAGAAGATGACGTGTCATTGTCTGAGTGGACGGTTGTCTATTTTGACCTTTGACTTTCGATACTTGCTTGGTTGCCAAACAAAGTATAGATCGAAATTATTGCTTTATCGTCGTCACGTGGCAAAGCGTGTATGGTCCCGTTTACAAAAAAAGATTTTTACTTTTTTCCAAGTGGTCTCTTAAAGTAATGTAGTGATTAGTGAACGCAAGACTCGTCCATTTATCTAATCCTTGTTAAAAAATAGTTTTGGCTTGTACTATTTCTTCATATTATCTTGTATAACATTATATTTTCATTCATCGAGTCGTTGTTATAAATAAATTCTGTCTTGTAACATTTATTTACATCATCTTGTTTCCCATATTCATTAAAATTTTCAATATAAAGCTAAAAACATTTTTATGAGATATTGAATCTTTGTTTTATTTGGTAATGAACAAGGTATATACAAGTATTTTTGGTAAAATTGTAAAAATCTATAAGGTTAATTACAACATAAGAAAGAATGAAAAAAAGAGCATATATCACATCAACTTATACATGTGATTCACAAAATACAAATTTGGCACAGTCCATAATATCCAACAATACTAATGTGTTTGATCTTTTAATTTTGTTGATCAAAATCAGTATTAGTGCGAAGAATCAGAAGGCAATAAACTAAACATGACCATATCTCTAACATTTCCTTTTAGACACATAAATTTCCTCATAACACCTTCTCTTTTAAAACCAACTTTTTCAAGAACCTTTTGAGATCCAACATTGTCTACGTCCACAAGTGCCTCGAGCCTCTCCATCTCCGGTTTCTCCTTGAATATCTCCGCCGCGACAAGCCTCACCGCCTCCGTCGCGATTCCTTTACCCCAATACTTGCTTCCGATGACATAACCAATCTCTCCTCTGATCTTATCGACCGGTGTGACGGAGATAGAGCCGATCGGACGGTCGTTTTCTAAGCATATAGCTCGAAGCCAAGGGTGTGGCAAAACAACGTCGTTTATGAACGCGATCCCGGCTTCTCTGCTCGTGTATGGCTCCCACGTGCAATAGCGTGTGACGTCTGTGTCAGTTGCCCATACCATGAAATCGTCCACGTCGGAGATAGTCATCGGCCGGAGATGGACTTTCTCTGGCGGTGAGGAACTCACGGACGTTTGAGGCTTCTCCGATTTGATAATAGTGCATGAGTCGATCTCCATCTCAGATGATAATGATTCTATTGAGTTCTTTGGAAATATGATGCTTATACTTTGAAATTATTATACACGTCGCGATTTAAATAATCATTTCAACCTCATAAAAAAACAAAAAAATAGAACTTTCCTTCTTGCTTCGAACGGTCAAATAAGCAACAATTAAGGTATTGAAACTGAATCATATC